CAGCTATGATATCCCTTGTTCCATGTCCTCTTCTGAATCCAGCTTGCACCTCTGAAAGTTCTTTATCAATATACTGCTGCAACCGTTTTTAAATTATTTTCAGGAAGATCTTACTTGTGTACAATATTAATAATATTGTTTGATAATTTCCACATTTTGTGGTATCACCCTTTTTTGGAATGGGTACAAATATGGATCTTTTCCAGTCAGTTGGCCAGGTAGCTGTTTTCCAATATCTTGGCATAACCAAGTGAGTGCCTCCAGTGGGGCATCTGTTTGTCAAAACATCTCAATGGGTATTCCATATTCCTGGAGCTTTGTTCTTCACCAATTCCTTCAGTGTAGCTTCAACTTCTTCCTTCAGTACCATTGGTTCTTGATCATATGCCATCTTCTGAAATGGATGAAGATCTACCATTTCTTTTTGGTACAGTGACTCTGTGGATTCCTTCCATCTTCTTTTGATGTTTCCTACATCGTTCAATGTTTTGCCCATAGAATCTTTCAATATTGCAACTTGAGGCTTAAATATTTTCCTCAGTTCTTTCAGCTTGAGAAATGCTGATCGTGTTCTTCCCCTTTGGTTTTCTAACCCCAAGTCTTTGCACATTTCATTATAGTAATTGGCTTTGTCTGCTCGAGCTGCTTTTTGAAATCTACTGTTCAGCTCTTTTATCTTGTCATTCCTTCCATTTGCTTTAGCCACTCTCCACTCAAGGGCAAGTTTCAGAGTCTCTTCTGTCATCCATTTTGGTCTTTTCTTCTTTTCTCATCTTTTTAATGATCTCTTGCTTTCTTCATGGATCACGTTCTTGATGTCATCCTACAATTCTTCTGGTTTTTGGTCATTGGTGTTCAATGTATCAAATCTATTCTTTAGATGGTCTCTAAATTCAGGAGGGATATATTCAAGATCATACTTTGGCCCTTGTGGACTTGTTTTAACTGTCTTTAACTTCAAGTTGAACTTGTATATGAGCACTTGATGGTCTGTTCCACAATCAGCTCCTGGCCTTGTTTTGGCTGAAGATACTGAGCTTTTCCATTGCCTCTTGCCATGGATGTAGTCAATATGATTCCTGTGTATTCCATCTGGCAAAGTCTATGTGTATAGCTGCTGTTTGTGTTGTTGAAAAAAGGTATTTGCAATGAATAAGTCATTGGTCTTGCAAAATTCTATCATGTGATTTCCAGCATCATTTCTGTCACCAAGGCCAAATTTTCCAACTACTGGTGATTCTTCTTTGTTTCCAACTTTTGCATTCCAGTCACCAGTGATAATTAACAAATCCTAATTGCATGTTTGGTCCATTTCAGACTGCAAAAGCTGATAAAAATCTTCAATTTCCTCATCTTTGGCTTTGGCAGTTGGTACATCTTTTGAGTGGTTGTTGTAAATGGTATTGTTATCCTGATTTCCTTTCCAGAGGAGAACACCACGTTATATATAGGCAGTCCCAGCCCCACCCTTTGTTCCACTCCCCGGAGAGCAAGAGAAGCCTGTACCCCACAGCCACTGTTACCATCTACCCACTGGATACAGGAGGCTGGCCTTGCCCGGTGTGCAGCTGAGGGCCAGATGGGGGCTGCACCAGCAGACAGATAGGGACTTTGCACATATCTGGGTATAGGGCAGGGGTGCATGAGGGGCATGGAGAGGGACATGGACCAGGCAGGGAGCAAGGATGGTGGTGGTGGCACCCTATTGGTACAGCCACTTCCTGTTCATATGCTGCTGCTGCCAGAAACCGGGAGCCTAAGAGTACCTCAGGCCCAGCTGGTGCTCTGCCAGCACCCATGGCAGAAGCAGGGGAGCCATGGCAGGGGCTGCCCTGTGCTTCCAAGGAGTGAACAGCTGCATAGCTGCTGGGTGGGTGAATGAAGCCAGGAAGAGGAGGCAGCAGAGGAGGAGGTGCTGCTCATTCACTCTGGGGAGTTGGTGTCCTCAAAACCAGTAGGGAGAGCTGCTTTCCCTTTAAAAAGAAAAAAGAAGTAAAAGAAGAAGAACCTTTGGGACCATGGACATGTATGTGGTCAGACATTGCCTGAACGGACATTACGTGGCATGTGACTGACTTGAGGCACCTGGGGGTCTAGGTTTGAGGCCAGAGTAGGACATGGACCACTAGCCAGAGAGGCTCCTGAGAGCCCTTCTCCATCCACTCATCTATGCTTTCTGCCCCAAGGTCCTGTCCCATCCGTGGTGAGGACTGAGATCTTCCTGCAGTCATCCAGGCCGGCCGCATTCGTGGTGGATGGGGCTGTGCACTGGCTCACCAACTTCATCGTCGGCTTTGTGTTCCCTTCCATCCAGGTGAATGAGGACACGTCCCCACAGGCAATGTGGGTGGGCGGCCACCTCCCACTCTCTCTCACCCACCCCCACCCCTAAGGCAGAAAGCACTCCAGGAAAGGAGCAGTAGCCCTTCTTCTACTAAGAACATTTACTAATCCGGCAAAAGTGGACTCAGACATGTCCACAGCTACCAAAAACACTGGTAACACCCACTTCAGGTAACTCTTTAAATAGGTCAGTTTCCCAGGTACTGAAGAGAGTTCTGACCCTCCAGTTGTATAGGGCTCATTCCTTTGGGGCTCTGGTCTGTGAGTTCAACAGGCAATAGAAAGAAGGCTAGCACTAGAGCGAGAATCCCCCCTACCACCTCCTTCCTCTCTTCTGAGAGATGTGCCCACCAACTCAATGTTTTCAACATCTTAAAGGCTCAGAGGACATCATGTCCCTGTTATCAAAAGGGATCTGCTGCTGCTGCTATTGTTGTTTGCTATTGAGTCAATTCCAACTCATAGAGACCTTACAGGACAGAGTAGAACTGCCCCAAAGGGTTTCCTGGGCTGTAATCTTTATGGGAGGAGATTGCCAGGTCTTTTATCCCACAGAGTCACTGTTCGGTTTGAACCAACAACGTTTCAGTTAGCAGCTGAGCTCTTAACCACTGTGCCTCACAGAGGCATATCTAAGGTAGGGCATGTGCCCTGGGTGCCACTTGAGGGGGGCACCTTCAAGCAATTTCTATGAACCATCACAGTTTCCATTACCAGCTTTGAGTTCATTCGGCATGTTAAAACTAATACTTTTGCTTTTGAGCTGACATTATGGTAAAGTTCTCTAAATGATGGTGTCAGATGTTTGGCACTGTACCTGTCCTGATTTTCCACATTCCCCACTGCTTTCTTTGTTTCTTGGTCTAGGAGCTCATTGGTCCCTATAGTTTCATCATTTTTGCTGGAATCTGTCTCCTCACTGCTGTTTACATCCACGTGGTTATTCCTGAAACCAAGGGCAAAACATTTGTGGAGATAAACCAAATTTTTGCTAAGAGAAATGGGGTGGCAATTCCAGAGATTAAAGAAGAAATAACAGAGTCTGGGCCTCCTGTGCTCTCTGCACCTGCCAAAGAGACTGCCTTTTGAAGAGTCTGCATGGCCACCAGGTGTTCGTTTTCAAGGCTGTCTTCTCCAAGAGAAGGACCTTCTGCCCGGGCCTCTTCATTTCTTTCCCTGTCTCCAGAGGGAGGATCCTAGCTCTGCCATCTTGGGGTGCCCAGTGGCAACTGGAAGACTCTGGAAAGCTTAGTCCTTCAGTTAAATGAGAAGTGAGGACCAGCTGGTAAGATTCAACTCTCTGATTCTACATTAGCACCCCAACTTGAATGTTGTACGAATACATTCTTTTTTAAGTAACACATTTCAAGTTCAATGATTGATTTGTAGACCTGAATCCCAATCACTGCATTATTTAGAGAACCAAAGGAACTGAAAGTTGCTGAGACCACAGCCCTGAGTGCTGTTCCTCCCAGGTGAGGTGGTTTCCCTTCTCTGCTCTGTGACTGATCCTGGTCAGCACTCACAGCTCTGTGCTATTGGTCACAGGGACAGCTGAGGAGGAGAAGTAAGAACTTTTCCCAATTTCGGAACAGCAATCCCAACAAATATTCCCCCCAGATAGAGTCAGAATGAAATACTCACAAATTATGTATCTGATAAAGGACTTGCATTTATGTAAAAAGAACTCTCAAAACTCAATAGTAAGAAATAGTGTCACTTAGCATGTTTACTTTGAGATCCACCCATATCGTAGCATGTATCCATAGTCAAAAAAATTGAATAGATTTTTATCAAAGAAAATAAGTAAGCACATGAAAAGATGCTCAAAACTGAATAATATGAAATAATTTCACTCAGATGCTCAACATTAGTAGTCATTATGGAAATGTAAATTAAAATTGCAATGGGATACATTATGCACCTATCAGGATGGCTAAAATTATAAAGACTGACTATATCAAGTGTTGATGAGGATGTAGAGCAACAAGAATTCTCACACAATGCCAGCAGCAATATAAAATGGTACAATCAGTTTTAAAAAGTTTGCCAGTTTTGTAGAAATTTAAACACACTTACTATAGGATTGTGCCTTTCATGCCTAAATATTTAACCAAAGAATGAAAGCATATGTCCATACAAAGCCTTATACACAAATGCTTATAGCAGCTTTATTTGTAATAGCCAAAACTGGAAACACAAAAGTAAAAAAAAAAAATAAAAAATAAAGTGACTGGATAAACAAACAGTGGTATATCCATACAATAGAATGCTGCTCACCAGTCGAAAGGTGTGAACTCTTGATGCCTGCTACAATATGGATGAATCTCAAAGTAATTATGCTGAGTAAAAGAAGCCACCACCCCCTCAAAATTACATACTGCACGATTCCAATTATATAAAGTTCTAGAAAATGCAAACTAATCTATAGTGATAGAAAACAGCTCAGTCATTATCTGGGAAACTTTTGGGGGTGATGCAAATGTTTATTATCATGATTGTGGTGACAGTTATGATCATGATTGGAGCTCTGGTGGCACAGTGCCTAAGGCATTTGACTGTTAACCAGAAGGTTGGCTGTTCAAACCCACCAGCTGCTCCTCAGAAGGAGCTGGGGCAATCTACTTCTATAAAGATTTACCACCTCAGAAACCCAGTGGGGGATCGCTATGAATCAGAATCGACTCAATGGCGGTGAGTTTGGTTTCTGTCTTTTTATACACATGTCAAAACTTATCAAATTGTGTATCTTAAATAGGAAAAGAAATGATTACTTAAAAGAATTAATTCACTTTAGTAAACCACACTCTCTCCCGGTGACTGTGCATGTGATGGGAAGATGGTACAACCCTGATCAGGGGTCTGAAAGCTGCTCCCCACTTTGCCATAGACATCATAACCTTAAATTAAGTCCCTGAATTCTTCTGGGATTTCTTTCCCTAGTCAGTTGCATAGGAATAGTGTTCTCTCCCATCATCCACCCCATAGAAGTGGTATATCTCTTGAGATAAAAGTTCTTGGAGCCAGCCTTATCTGGGCGGGTCTAGCAGTCTTCCCTCAGGCTAACCAGGTGCCTAGTGGCTGGGCCTCAGTGCTGGCTCACTGCTCTGCTTCAGCAGCTCCCTCAGGGGTGGATGTGGCAAACCACAGGCAGAAGACTGGCTTGAAGTGTAGGGCCAGGTGTGCCCCAGCAAAGCCTGAAGGCAGGTCCACTCAGAAAACCAGTCTCCATGTCAGTTAATTGCCTAGTGAGTCCTTGGGGAAGCTAAAAAAGAAACCAAACTCACTGCCATCAAATGGATTCCAATTCATGTTGTTGTTATGTGCTGTTGAGTATGCTCTGACTCATAGCAACCCTGTGTACAATGGAACAAAACACTGCCTGGTCCTGCACCATCCTCACAATCCTTGCTATGCTTGGGCCCATCATTGCAGCCACCATGTCAATCCATCTCATTGAGGGTCTTCCCCTTCTTCATTGACCCTCTACTTTAGCAAGCATGACATCCTTCTCCATAGAATGGTCCCTTCTGACCACAAAGTAGGCAAGACAAAGTCTGGCCATTCTTGCTTCCAAGGAGCATTCCGGCTGCACTTCCCCCAGGACAGATTTGTTTGTTCTTCTAGCAGTCCATGGTATTTTCAGTATTCTTCACCAACACCACAATTCAAAGGCATCAGCTCTTCTTCTGTATTCCTTATTCATTGTCCAGCTTTTCACATGCACGTGAGACTATTGAAAATACCATGGCTTGGGTCAAGCATACTTTAGTCTTTGAAGTGACTCTCCCAAGTCACAGAGATCCTCATTGGGTTTCCAAGGCTGTAAATCTTTATGGAAGCAGATTGCCTCATCTTCCTTCCATAGAGTGACTGGTGGGTTCAAACTACTGATCTTTTGGTTAGCAGCCAAGTGCCTTAACTTCTATGCCACAAGAACACCTTCAAGGGAGCTCAGGAGAGGATATCAGTCATAGAACTCTTGGAGACCACTCAGAAGAGGTTTCTTTTAGGGCCCTCCTGCTCCCTCCCACCATCTTCTGGCATCAAAGGCCCTCCCTCCTGGCTAGATCAGTTTTTTGTTTTGTTTTGTTTTTTGGCTTTCCCTGCTTTTCATCAGATAATCAGTTTCAACACTGAAACAAACATTGAAGATTAAAGATTACAGGCTGCAATATGGTTTGCACCTCAACATAAAGAAAATGAACATCCTCACAATTGAACATATAAGCAGCATCATGATAAAAGGAGAAAAGATTGAAGTTGTCAAAGATTTCATATCACTTGGGTCCACAATCAACACCAGTGGAAGCAGCAGTTAGGAAATCAGACGAGACACTGCACTGGGCAAATTTGCTGGAAAAGACCTCTTTAAAGCGTTGAAGAGCAAACATGTCCCTTTGGAGACTAAGGTGCACCTAACCCAAGCCATGGTATTTTCAAAAGCCTCATATGCATGTGAAAGGTGGACAATGAATAAGGAGGACCAAAGGGTTAATACCTTTGAATTGTGTTGTTGGTGAAGAATACTGAAAGTACCATGCACTGCCAGAAGAATGAACAAATCTGTCCTGGAAGAAGTGCTGCTGGAATCCTCCTTGGAAGCAAGAATGGACAGACTTTGTCTCAGCAACTTTCATCATGTTGTCAGAAGGGGCCATTCCCTGGAGAAGAATATCATGAAAAGTGGAGGGTCAGCTCAAAAGTGGAAGACCCTCAACGAGATGGATTGACACAGTGGCTGCAATGATGAACTCAGGTATAGCAAGGACTGTAAGGGTGGCATACGACTGGGCAATGTTTCGTTTTGTTGTATATAGTGTTGTTTTGAGTCAGAGCCAACTCAATGGCACCCAACAATAGCATAAATGAAAAAACTATTTCCAAATGCTTTACAAAAGCCCTACAAAGTCATAGAAAAATGGATTAACAGTGGGAAAATTGCACAGCCTTGTCAGTACTGCAGTAGTTTAAGACAACTTCAGAATAAAACTAAAGAAAACATTTCATGCTCATTGCAGAGCAATAATTAATTAATTAATTAAACCCTATGTTTCCAAGCAAATGAAATAAATAGTATAGTGCCTAAGGCACTTGACTGCTAACCAGAACGCTGGGGGTTTAAACCAACCAGCCACTGCTTGGAAGGAAGGTTGGGCAATCTACTTCCATAGTGATACCGCCTCAGAAACCCAAGGAGGGGTCGCTATGAGTCGAGTCCGACTCGACGGCACATAACAACAACATACCTTATGGGAGGGGGAAATTGGTAAACTACATTGGCATTTTCTAGTAAATTTAACCTTGGCTGTGATCTGCAACTCAGTGTATTTCATTCATTACAGTTACTGTGCAAGAGCACATGGAGCCCACAGAGAGAGTGAACAGAGCAGCACTATTCCCAAGAGCAAAAACTAAACTTAAAGCAGCCCAAATCCTATAAGCTATACATTGGATGGGTAAATCGTGGCTGATTCATAAAATGGAACACATCCATACCTAGGAATATGGGTAGAATAGTGTGACAGATACAGACGTGTATGAAATTCATGGACAAAACAAGTCACTAAAGAACATGTACAGCATAATTTTGATTTAAGTTATCTTAGGTAAGATCAATTTTATAACTGATCTTTTTATACTGGATCTTGGAAGTTTACATTTATATTCACTAGCTCAACCCTTGTAAAAGCAAAATTCTTAAAACTATTCAAGTGCTTGCTTCAGCAACACATATACTAAAATTAGAATGATACAGAGAAGATTGGCATGACACCTGCACAAGGATGACATGTAGATTTGTTAAGAATTTCCTATCAAGCATAGCCTAAAATGCACAAACAGCAGAAGAGAAACTAGATAACTGGGACCTGCTAAAAATTAAATTCTTACGTTCATCAAAAGAGTCCTCCAAAAGAGGAATAAGAGAACCCACAGATTGGGGAAAAAAACAAACAAATTTGGCAATGTCATATCTGATGAGGGATTTGTCTCTAAAATTTATAGAAAATTTCAGCACCTCAACATCAAAAAGACAAACAAGCCAATTCAAAAATGGGCAAAGGATATGAATAGACACTTTATCAAAG